GGATCCAGCAGAAGTCAGAAGAAGTTCCACGGCTCGTAATGTATGCCACCGGCACCAGGGCCAGTGGCACTCCTGCCCGCTTCTCTGGTTCAAAGTCAGCAAACACCATGTCCCTGATCATCACTGAAAGCCAGCTGGAAGACGATGCGACTTATTATTGTGTTGTTTGGGGAGGCAACGGGTCGCACAGCTGTTCATTAGGACGGGGAACTGAGATAAAACCCTCACAGCAGGGAATTGAACCAGGTTCAGAAGTTTGGAGTATTCTTACTCAGGAGTGGGCTTCAAAAACTTTAGCAAGGGGTTCTCTGCCTGGTTGCTGGGTGGCCGTGGCTTAGTCAGCCTCCTGCACCATGGAGGAGGGGCTTTTTTGCCCTCCCCAGGTTCTAGAGGCTTTCCTCGAGCCTCCAGGAGGGTGAAAACGGCCTCCCCAGGCTCCGGAGGCCCTCTGGAGTTCCTGAACTTCCGGTAAACCTGTTTTTTATCCTCCCCTTGCATCCATACGTGTCCTGCACTTACCTGCATCCAAAACGGGCTGTGTGAGGACTCCTGGGAGGGGTGGGGTGGGGTGGATGGGGCCAGCCAGGAGTGGGATTTGGGGGTTCTCAGAACTGCACAGAATCTTAGCTAGAGGTTCTTCCTAACCCCTGCAAACTCCTGTTTTTACTACAAGGAAGACCGTAATGAATGAGACCATAGGCGAATATTTTTAGACCACACAGCAAAACAATGTTAAAGAATCAAGAAGTTAAAGTGTTTGAGAAGGTCTTAAAGAATATCTGGCCTGCAGTTGCCTTGTTTTAGAATAAAAATATGGAAATTTTGGAATGAAAAAAGGAAATACTTTGTTGATCAGGAGGGCCTTGCAAAAAATCTTCTACATATTAAAATATACCCCAAGTCTTCCTGAGATGGAAGTTTCCTTAAAATGCACTCTTTACAGGTGGGAGAATTCAGGAGTGGTGCAATGGCCTCGAGGTGGAGCTCTCACCTCACAATCAGGAGGCTGTGAGTTCAATCCTAGGTAGAGGCTGATATTTCTCTCTCTCGGGATAATGAGAATATATCCGCTGAACAAAATTCCTCATTGGCGACAGGGAGGGGATCCGGCCATTAAAACACTCTGCTAGCTCCATTCAGTTGCCCAGAATTCACCCCGCAAAAGGGATTATGGGGTCATTAAATGAAGATGATGGCTGTTGGGAGAGTTCAGTTTCGACACTCCGTTGACATCCAGCTCACTAGCTCATGGCCACATCTTACAAAAAATGTGAGATCATGACCACACATACAAAAAATGACCTGATGGGACTATTGGATGGGACCCTTGACCTCTTTTGTCCAGCAGTCTATTCTCACAATGGTCAACCTAACGCAAAGGAAGTCCACTAGGTCCTTATCACTCTGTAGTCTGTTCAGGCAGTCATATTGTGTAATGTTATGTGAACATGATGCTGGGAAATAGAGAGAAGAGCCAGGGAATAGTCAGATCAGAGTCAATTGTGCAGAGTCTGCAGAAGGAATGTGGGAATGGCCAACATCTCAGAAGGGATCCTTTTTGTGTGATGAAGGAAACCTGGGACAAAGGTGCTTCCAGGGTTGCAATGTCCGTTAATGTAACTTTAGGACAAAATTTTATTTTATTTCAATAAAGAATCACCCCAGAATTGTGCTTGTGGATCAGTTTAGGTAGCCTGGAACTTAAATCTAAGTCCTCCCAGAGTCCTCCTGTGATGTCACAAGGGTGCAGCAGAGAACCGAATATCATTCAGCTGATGATATTTGCATTAAAAAGTGGAGAATTTGCCTCCATGGATTTCAATATAAGGCATTTGGAAGGATAGAGAGGCAGGAGTACCCAACAGAATGCACATCCCTCTGACAATGTTGTGGGCCTACTCTGTTCTATTCCTGGGATGGTTCTTCTCAGGTGAGTCCAGACCATTGGTTGAAGGTTTTCAAGGGAGGGAGAAGATGCTTGTCTGTTCCATCAAGATCCATCCAGAAGACACGCTAACATAGTTCCTCATTTTTATTTGCTTGCAGGTTCGGCGTCCCAGATGATATTAACTCAACCAGCCTCCATGTCTGCATCTCCAGGATTAACGTTTAACATCCCTTGTCAAATGAACAGTGGCTACACCATTAATAGTGAGAGAGCCAGGTGGCTCCAGCAGAAACCAGGAGGCGTCCCACGGTTTCTGTACCACTATTATACCAGCACTGATCAAGGCAGGGGAGAAGGAGTCCCAGAGAGATTCAGCGTTTCCCCTGATGGCTCCCAGAACCTCTGGAATCTCGTGATCAATGGAGTTCAGGTGGAAGACGATGCTGTTTATTATTGTGCCTCATGGGACTACAAACTTACCGGGTGCACAGTGATTGATCTTTATGGGGAACTGAGACAAAAACCTTTTGCTCGTCACACCCCGTCAGGCATCTGCAGGTGAAGTGGTGAAGATACAAAGCACTGAACTCAATTCCCCAAACATAGGCAGATAGTTTTGCTATTTCTGCTATTTCTCTTGCAATTCGGAACCCCCTTTGCAAAGCACTGGGCTTAAGTGCCAAAATGCATCACAGTTCCGTTTCTACAACCGTTCGTTGCTAATTATTGAGCGAAGTCACACCATCAATGCTTTAGGTGCTTTGAATAATTTCAAGTCTCCTTGAGTTTTGCTATTTGAAATAGTTTTGCTATTTCTGCTACTTCTCTTGCAGTTCGGAGTCCCAATTGCAAAGTTTAGTTTAGTTTAGTTTAGTTTATTTGATTTGTATACCGCCCTACTCCCGAAGGACTCAGGGCGGTGAACAGCCAACAATAAAATACATAAATACACAAAATTTAAAAACCCGATAAAATTGTCACTGCGTTATTTTATTTACCAGCTGAGCTCATTATTTCTGGACTGTCAGACTCTCCGTAGCTTTGCCAACTTCTTATCAGTAAGCTACGTGTTTCCGCATCCACCCACATTCCTTCACTTGCTCTTCACTCACTCTTTCCTTTGTTCTCTTGCCAGAGGTCCGGCTCACATAGCCGGCAAGAATTATTTTCAAAAATGTAGCAATTAACTTTTCTTAGTTAGTGAGGTGTTTTATTTTCTTTAAAACAAATAAATGAGTTTTATTAGAAACCTTCCTTCGCGTTTCTTTTCGGAATATTGCAAACAAGGATAAGCCTCGATTCATCTCCTCCTCTAAACCAGGGTAATTAGTCCCAGAGCCAAACATGGGATTAATAAATGCCCTGACAAAAATCAATTTAAATTATTTGGCCCAGACAAATTAAAATACCCCAATAATTTAAAAACAGATTAAAATTTACATATTTAAAAAGGGAAGAGATCAGGCCAAGCCCGCTTGATGGAATAAAAAGCACTGAACTCAATTCCCAAAACATGCAGATAGTTTTGCTATTTTTGCTGTTTTTGCTATTTCTTCTATTTCTCAATTCTCAATTTCTCTATATCTATTTCTCTTGGAATTTGGAACTCCCATTGCAAAGCACTGGCCTTACTTGCCCAAATATATCACTTCCGTTTCTACAACCGTTCCTTGCTAATTATTGAGCGAAGTCACACCACCAATGCTTTAGGTGCTTTGAATAATTTCAAGTCTCTTGAAGGGCCTGAGATTGTTCAGCGTCCATTGCCACGATTTGATGATGCTGCCCCAAAATTTGAACAGAACACTCCCTTACACAACCCATGTCAACAAAGCATAGGACAAAGTAAAAAAGTAAGAAGCAATTGGATATTTAGCTGGTGCAGAATTAGGAACTGTGGTAGCCCAGTGGTTAGAATGCAGTATTGCAGGCTGACTCTTGCCCACTGTCAGCAGTTCGATCCTGACCGGCTCAAAAGTGGCTCAACCTTCCATCCTTTTGAGGTGGGTAAAATGAGGACCCAGATTATTGGAAGCAATGGGCTGACTCTGTAAAACTGCTTAGAGAGTGTTGTAAAGCACTGTGAAGCGGTATATAAGTCTAAGTGCTATTAGGACATGGTATTCTGGTGGCCTGCGGCTGGATCCTGTCCACAATCATGTGCCAAAGGAAAAAAAAGGAATGAGAACTCATCTCTGAAGAATATTCAGCAGGCTAGCTAATTATTCTGGGACTCCTTGGTTCTAAGACACCCTGTCCATATACATGCACACACATGTACAAAAAGAACCATACAAACACAGATAGAAACATAGGCATTCATACTGTTCTTACTGCATGGTTAATTAATTCGCTAACCAAGTTAATTCTTTTCATATTAGTGAGAGCAATTAATCAGAGGAACTGCTTGTCTCTGGAGGTTGAGGGTGCACCATCACTCAAGGTTTTCAAGAAGAGATTGGCCAGCCATTGGTCCGGCATGCTATCGGGTCTCATGCTTGAGCAGAGGGCTGGACTAGAAGACCTCAAAGGTCCCTCCCATCTCTGTTATTCTGTTGTGCATTTTATGCACACACACACTAGCATTCTCAAGAGGGAAAGGACCGTGTGTCCTTTCCCTCTTGACATCCTCTTGTCTTCTTCTTGACATCCTCTTGTGACATCCTCACATAAATGATTCAAAATGTACTTGTATAACTACTGGTATGTCTTGCCACCTAATTATATAATTACTCTGTTTCCCCCAAACTAAGACATCCCCTGATAATAAGGGGGATAAAAAGCCCCAATTGGGCTTTTGAGTGCATGGCAATAAGGCCAAGCGCTTATTTCAGGGTTCAAAAAAATATAAGACAGGGTCTTATTTTTGGAGAAACATGGTATGTACTTTGTGCAATAAAGTCATGGCACAGGTTATCCTAATTTTGTGGTCATCAGTGAGGCAGTGTGGTGGCACAGTGGTTAGAATGCAATATTGCAGGCAAACTCTGCCCGCAGTCAGGAGTCCGATCCTGACCGACTCAACGTTGAGTCAGCCTTCCATCCTTCCATGGTTGGTAAAATGAGGACCCAGATTGTTGGGGATAATATGCTGAGATTACTGCAAAGCTCTATGGAGTGTTATGTAAGTGTAAGTGGTATTGCAATAGGTATTATAAATAATCCATCTCCACCTCCATCCAAAAGGGGGCAGCAAAAAGCCATTTGCTCATTTTACGCATCTCCTCACCCACAGCCTGGACTTAAAAAAGCAATTGATTTGCATGAAGTATTTGCAGAGGGGTTTAAGTGGGTCTTGGAGAAGGCCAGTTAGTGATTCCTGTCCTCCCAGAAGATTAGGTTGTCTTTCCATCATGGCTTGGGTCCTTCTGCTTTCACCATCCTCTCCTCCTTCAGTGAGAGATTTTTCATTACTCCAAGGGAGGGATGAACCTTACAGACCTCGAATGACCTGCTCTGGTGTCAAGCATAGAATCATTCAGTATTTTCCTCTGTGATCTACTTCCATTCTTTCCCCCCCCACTTTCATAATCTCTTTCAGATCTCAGCGTCCAGCAGCTGAAGAACCTGAAAGATCCAGAGTTGGTAGCTCCAGGAGAAACAGTCGTTTTGTCGTGTAGCTACAGTGCTGGAACCATCACAGATAACAATTACCCTCTGTGGATCCAGCAGAAGTCAGAAGAAGTTCCACGGCTCGTAATGTATGCCACAGGTTCCAGGGCCAGTGGCACGCCTGCCCGCTTCTCTGGTTCAAAGTCAGCAAACACCATGTCTCTGATCATCAGGGAAAGCCAGCTGGAAGACGATGCGACTTATTATTGCGTTGTTTGGGGAGGCAGCAAGTTGCACAGCTGTTCATTAGGATGGGGAAATGAGATAAAAACCTCACAGCAGGGAATTGAACCAAGTTCAGAAGTTTGGGGTATTCTTACTCCAAGGAAGACAGTAATGAAAGAGACTGTAGGTGAATGTCTTAGGCCATTTTAAAGAATCAAGAAGTTCAGGCATTCTAGAGATGGCCTACACTCAGGAGTGGGCTTCAAAAATTTTAGCAAGGGGTTCTCTGTCCGGTTGCTAGGTGGGCGTGGCCATTGTGGGCATGACCTAGTCGGCCTCCTGCATCACGGCGGGGGGAGGAGGTGTTTTTGCCCTCCCTGGGCTCCGGAGGTTTTCCTTGAGTCTCCGGGTGGGCGAAAACAGCCTCCCCAGGCTCCAGGGGCCCTCTGGAGGCCAGAAATGGCCCTGTTTCTGGCCTTTCCAAACTTCCAATAGGCCAATTTTGCCCTCCCTGCATTTACGTGCATCCAAAACGGGCTGCGTGGGGATTCCTGGGAGGGGTGTGGCAGGCAGGGGCAGCCAGGAGTGAGATTTGGGGGTTTTCCCTCTTTTCACAACAAACCTCCTTCTTCTTCCTTCTTTCCCCTCTCTTCTTCCTCTCCTCTTCTACTTCCTTCCTCCTCCTCTCCTCCCCTACTTCGCCTTCCTCTCCCCCACTCCTCCTCTCTTTTCCCCCTTTCTCGCCTTCTCTCATGCTCTTGTCACCTATCCTTTCTTCCCCTCCTTCCCCTTTCTTCCATTCTTCTCCCTCCCACTATCCCTCTCCTCCTCTTTCCTTTCTTTCTCCTTTGTTGTGCAATATTTCCTTTCTTTGGTATCCAAGCAATATAAGTATCCTGGAACTTAAATCGAAGTCCTCCCAGAGTCCTCCTGTGACATCACAAGGGCGCAACGGAGAACCGAATATCATTCAGCTGATGGTATTTGCATAACAAGTGGAGAATTTGCCTCCATGAGATTCAATATAAGGCATTTGGAAGGAAAGAGAGGCAGGAGTACCCAACAGAATGCACATCCCTCTGACAATGTTGTGGGCCTACTCTGTTCTATTCCTGGGATGGTTCTTCTCAGGTGAGTCCAGACCATTGGTTGAAGGTTTTCAAGGGAGGGAGAAGATGCTTGTCTGTTCCATCAAGATCCATCCAGAAGACACGCTAACATAGTTCCTCATTTTCATTTGCTTGCAGGTTCGGAGTCCCAGCTGACGTTAACTCAACCAGCCTCCATGTCTGCATCTCCGGGATTAACGTTTAACATCCCTTGCCAAATGAACAGTGGCTACACCATTAACAGCGAGAGAGCCAGGTGGTACCAACAGAAACCAGGTGGCATCCCACGGTTTCTGTACCACTATTATACCAGCACTGATCAAGGCAGGGGAGAAGGAGTCCCAGAGAGATTCAGCGTTTCCCCCGATGCCTCCCAGAACCTCTGGAATCTCGTGATCAATGGAGTTCAAGTGGAAGACGATGCTGTTTATTATTGTAGCACATGGGACTACAAACTTACTGGGCGCACAGTGATTGATCTTTATGGGGAACTGAGACAAAAACCTTTCGCTCGTCACACCCCATCTGGCATCTGCAGGTGAAGTGATGAACATACAAAGCATTGAACATTGTTCCCGAAACATGTATACTTTCAATACAACTGGGACAGTGGTGAAATATAAAATTTGTTACTACCGGTTCTGTGGGCGTGGCTTGGTGGTGGGTAATGTGACTGGGTGGGTGTGGCCAATTTTTTTTTTTTAACTTTTAAAACCATTTTTTAAAAACATGCTTTTAAAAGGCTCTGGCAATTCCAGCTGAGTTGCCTGATCGGCAGAGGCTTTTTTTCTTTTAAATGCCTCTGACGATCCAAGCTGAGTTGCCTGATCGCAGAGGCTTTTTTAACCTCTTCAGAGGTTGTAGAAAAAATGCTTTTAAAAGCCTCTGATGATCCCAGCTGAGATACGCGATCATCAGAGGCTTTTTAAAAAACTTTTAAAAGCATTTTTTCGGCCGAAGAGGTTGTAGAAACTCAGCTGGGCATGGGGGTGGGGAGGGATTTTTGCTACTGGTTCTCCGAACCACCCGCCTCCATCGCTACCGGATCGGGCGATTTGGTCCGAACCGGGAGCATTTCACCCCTGAACTGGGACCAAAATTTCCCTTGTTAAGCAAGATAGTCATTAAATGAGCTTTGTGTCAGGTTTCGAGGTCGTCTCAAATTTACTCTAGTGCTGACACTTTGCCCGTATTTTTGTGCCCTTTCTTGCTAAAGTTGTTAAGTGAATCACTGCAGTTAAGTTAGTAACATAGTTGTTAAGTGAATCTGGAATCCCCATGGAGTTTGCTTGTCAGAAAGTCCCACTGCAACTGTCAATAATACATGTCAGATGCTCGGCGGTCAAATTTTGATCATATGACCATGGGAATGCTCCCATGGTCATGAAGCGTGACAGTCGTAAGTCACTTTTTTCAGTGCTCTGGTAACTTTAAACGGTCACTAAATGAATGGGTTAGCAATATAATTTTAAATTGGATGTTTTAAATTTTGGGGGTTTTAAATTAAGCCAAATTTATTTAATATTTTTAAATTATTTTAAATTGATGTTTATTCTGTTTTTTAATTAGGCTGTACACCGCCCTGAGTCCTTCGGGAGAAGGGCGGTATAGAAATAAAATTATTATTATTATTATTATTATTATTATTATTATTATTATTATTATTATTATTATTGTCTGTAAGCCGATAACTATCTGCACTTGATTATTTTTCCTAATTCTACTGTATTTAGGAGCCACCTTTTCAAAGGGTTAGGGTTAGGGTTACGGTCTTTATCACAAAATACAAAAAAACAGCTTTATCTAGACTTTTCCTAGGCAAAAACTGCCAGTCTAGGGAGATTCCTATGAAATAGGCATACAACAATAAAGTAGCTAGTTTGAACTAGTTTGACCACAGAACCTGTGGTCTGATTGTTTGTCCCTGCCAGTGGGTCTATTACTGTCACTCTTATGTAGAATAGAATAGAATAGAATAGAATAGAATAGAATAGAATAGAATAGAATAGAATAGAATAGAATAGAATAGAATAGAATAGAATAGAATAACAGAGTTAGAAGGGACCTTGGAGTCCAATCCCCTGCTTAGGCAGGAAACCCTACTTCACTTCAGACAAATAGTTATCCAACATCTACTTAAAAACTTCCAGTGTTGGAGCATCCACAACCTCTGGAGGCAGGTTGTTCCACTGATTAATTGTTCTCACTGTCAGGAAATTTCTCCTTAGTTCCAGGTTGCTTCTCTCCTTGATTAGTTTCCACCCGTTGCTTCTTGTCCTGCCCTCAGGTGCTTTGGAGAATAGCTTGACTCCCTCTTCTTTGGAGCAACCCCTGAGATTTTGGAACGCTGCTATCATGTCTCCCCTAGTCCTTCTTTTCATGACTAGACATACCCAGTTCTTGCAACCGTTCTTCATATGTTTTATCCTCCAATCATCCCCTAATCATCTTTGTTGCTCTTCTCTGTACTCTTTCCAGAGTCTCCACATCTTTTTTTACATGTGTTCTGTTCTCCGTGTCGTGTGCAAGAAACCAGGAACAAGAGCTGAGTTCAAAGCACCAAAAGTTTATTTCATGCTACCTATACACAAAAATCTGATCTACTAATGGTCAAGCCAAAGTGGAACTAGATAAGAGTCAAGAGAATTCATGAGGAAGCTGGTCTTAGGTTTCTTGAAGGAATGTAAAGTTTCCAAACTGATGATGCATTTAACCCCACCCTCAGTTTCGTCCTGCTCATCTCCTATACTTCATAACTTTATATGAATATCATTCCTCCCTTGATGCACAGTTTTCCATTTGTGTATTTGGGTGTGTGTTTGTGTGTTTCTGGGAAGGGAGGTAGGTGGAGAAGAATGAACTAGGAGACGGGTACAATGAAGGTTCTTGAACAAAGCTGGAGAGATCTAGAAAACCAGCAGATGCTGCTGTTGTCTTTCTTATGAAATCAAACCCCCCAATTTGAGTCTCTTATCCTCAATTCTCAAAGCATCTATTTCTGATCTACGGAATTGTGGAAAGAAGGAATGAAAAAAGAATGTTCTCAAAGAGGTGGAGAAAAAAGGGAAGAATGAAAAAAACAGTAGAAAAAACAGTATGGAGTCTACCTCTTTTGCTTCAAAACAGGTTTGGAACTTAACCTGGAATCACTGACCATGCTAGTCACAAAATAGAAATGTCTTCAAAATTTCCAGGTGGTCCAAATTTAGTGATTAAGTGAAGAAGAGAAGAAGATCAAGCTTGAAACAGAGGCTTGCTGGACCTTATCTGAATCATGGTCATTCCATACAAGTCTTACTATTTCTGGCCAGGAGTAATGATTGCCAGGACATTCTTCCAAATTATAGGGAGAACAGTCAAATGCTTCAGCCAAGGTTTTGCTTGGTGAGAGCCGTCTATCCAGATGTTCATTTTCACCTTCTCCTCTCAAATTTCCTGGAGCTTAGCAGAGTGTTTATTTGAGTTCTCAAATATTGCAGTTCTTATTCATTTGAAGCCTCTCTGTTCCAATTCCTTTGAAGTCAGTGAATGTGTAGCAGATACAATCTAGAAGGCCCTTCAGAGACACCATCTGTCTAGCAGGTGCAAGTGCCTCTCTCTTGTGGTTGTTCCACCACTCAGAGACGGAAAATAAAGGGGCAAGAGATTTGCATGAAGGAACCAATTTTTTTTTTTGCCTCTGGGGATTTAAGAACAACTGGATTGACCCCAAGAGAAGATCCTTTCGCTTTAAGAAGATGAACGTATTGCATCTCCCCAGAATACGCAGCATGTTCTTTCTGGTCATATTCTTTTTCTCTATTGGTGAGCTACATGGAGTTAGTGGATGAGAGAAGCTATATCTTCTCCAAAATGGTGGCCATGGCTTCTCCGTAGTCCCTTCAATAAGCATTTCTTTGCTGTGTTCCCTTGCAGATCTCAGCCTTCAGCAGCTGCAAAACCTGAAGGACCCAGAATCGGTGCCTCTTGGTGGGACGGTCACCATATCTTGCAGATACTCTACTGGAATCATCACTGATGACAATTACCCTTGGTGGGCCCAGAAACTTCCAGGAAAACCACCACGGCTCTTGGTTTACCAGACCAGTGTCAAACCTTCTGATGTTCCAGCCAGGTTCTCTGGGTCCAAGGCAGGGAATGTCATGTCCCTGACCATAACAGGGGTCATGGCTGAAGATGAAGCCATCTATTACTGCTGTTTGAACCCAGGAGGCTTGTGACACAGTCGTTCAGTGCAATGGGGAAGGAAGGCAAAAACTCTCACTTCCTTTGCTCTTTTTGAACAATGATAACAGTTGAATTGTCCCTTAAGCTTCCTGTTGATATTGTAGTCAAAATCTGAAAGGGATATTTTGACTAGAGTGGTGTTTTTCAGATTTAGAATATAGAATCGTAATGCTGAAAAAGACCTTGTTCGTCTTCTAATCCATCCCCCTAATCAAGGCCCTTATAATATCCTGGTCAAATGATTGCCCAGTTGAGGAGGAGGAGGGAGACAGAGGGGGAAGAGAAGGAGGAGAAATGGAAGAAGAGGAGGAGGAAAGAGACAGAGGGGGAAGGAAGGAGGAGAAATGGAGGAGGAGGATGGAAAGAAGAAGAGAAGGAGTGGTGGAGAATAGAAAGCGAGAAGGAGGAAGAAGAGGACAAGGAGGGAGACAGATAGGGAGGAAGGAAGAGGAGGAGGAGGAGAAATGGAGGAGGATGGAAAGAAGAAGAGAAGGAGTGGTGGAGAATAGAAAGCGAGAAGGAGGAAGAAGAGGACAAGGAGGGAGACAGATAGGGAGGAAGGAAGAGGAGGAGGAGGAGAAATGGAGGAGGAGAATGGAAAAAAGAAGAGAAGGAGGAGTGGTGGAGAAAGAAAGAGGAAGAGGAGGAGGAGGAGGAGGAGGAGAAGGAGAAAGAAGGGGACAGGTGGAAGGAAGGAGGAGAAAAGGAGGAGGAGAATGGAAAAAAGAAGAGAAGGAGAAGGAGTGGTGGAGAATAGACAGAGGAAGAGGAGGAAGAGGATGAGGAGGGAGACAGAGGGGGAAGAAGGAAGAGGAGAAGGAGAAATGGAGGATGAGGAGGAGAAAGAAGGAGACGGGAAAGGAAGGAGAAATGGAGGAGGAGAATGGAAAAAAGAAGAGAAGGAGAAGGAGTGGTGGAGAATAGACAGAGGAAGAGGAGGGAGACAGAGGGGGAAGAAGGAAGAGGTGGAGGAGGAGAAAGAGGGAGACAGAGGGGGAAGGAAGGAAGGAAGGAGGTGAAATGGAGGAGAATGGAAAGAAGAAGAGAAGGAGAAGGAATGGTGGAGAATAGAAAGAAAGAAGGAGGAGGAAGAGGAGGTGGAGGAGGAATGTAGGTTAAAGACCAGTAAGGGCTGCTGCTGTTCTTCCAACCAAAACTTCATCAACAATAACCACCACTTCTATGTTTCTTGCACTTAAGTTTCAAAGCATACATTTCTGGCACACGAAGTAGGAGAAAACAAATAATCATCCCGAGAGGAAGTAGATTAAGAGAAGGTCTAAAAAAAGAGTCCGTAAATATCAGGGAGGGGTTTTTCTCCTCTCTTTGAATGGCAGGTTTGGACTCTCTGGGTTCAAATCCGCCAAGTGTAAATACCCAAGTAGGAAGACAATGGTTTATACATGAAAAATGAGGAAAAGAAAATGATGCCCAGCTGTTCATCACTCTGATAGACTTGATTCCATGAACTTCCATCCTGTAGACCATTTACAATTCCATGCCTTTGGCCATCCAGATGAAAAAGAATAGACTTCTACTCCACAATATATGGAGGACTCTGGATTCACCCCAAGCTTCTCATTTTTGAGTTGACCTAGAACAGTTTGTCTGGAGACTTAAGAAAACAGACTCTACCCATCATCAGAAGATCTAACTATCCTACATCCTCCTCCCCCCCAAAAAAATTAATTTGCTTTGGAAAGAATTCTGAATCTCAACTGTGTTCACCCTTATTCATATCAAACCTTTCTACCACCACCTCTTTGAAGCAAGTCATGTGCAGAAGGTAGAATGCACAAGTTCCTTCCAACACAGAATCAATAAAACAGGCGTCAGAGCTTCTCTGTGGCTGATTCCAACAGCCACAGACAGAAGTTAAAGGGGCAAGCAATTTGCATGAAGGAACCGATGTTTTTGGCCTCTGGGGATTTAAGAACAACTGGGTTGACCCCAAGAAAAGATCCTTTCGCTTCAAGACAATGAACGTGTCATATCTCCCCAAAATAAGTAGCATGTTCTTTCTGGCCATATTCCTTGCTACCATTGGTGAGCTACAAGGAGTTAGTGGAAGAGAGAAGCTATGTCTTCTCCAAAATGGTGGCCATGGATTCTCCATAGTCCCTTAAATAAGCATTTCTTTGCTATGTTCCCTTGCAGATCTCAGCCTTCAGCAGCTGCAAAACCTGAAGGACCCAGAATCGGTGCCACTTGGTGGGACAGTCACCATATCTTGCAGATTCTCTACTGGAACCATCGCCGATGGCAATCACCCTTGGTGGGCCCAGCAACATCCAGACAAACCACCCCGGCTCTTATTTTACAACACCAATATCAAAATGTCTGATGTTCCAGCCAGGTTCTCTGCATCCAAGGCGGGGAATGTCATGTCCCTGACCATAACAAGGGCCCTGGCAGAAGATGAAGCCCTCTATTACTGCTGTTTGAACCCAGGGAGTTCGTGGCACAGTTGTTCAGTGCAATGGGAAGGAAGGCAAAAACTCTCACTTCCTTTGCTCTTTTCAAGGGTCATTAGCAGATCAACATCTCTTGAGCATCCTGTTGATATTGTAGCCAGTCTGCAGATGAATAGAATAGAGTAGAGTAGAGTAGAGTAGAGTAGAATAGAATAGAATAGAATAGAATAGAATAGAATAGAATAGAATAGAATAGAATAGAATAGAATAGAATAGAATAGAATAGAATTCTTTCTTGGTTAAGTGTGATTGGACACACAAGGAATTTGTTTTTGGTGCATAAGCTCTCAGTGTACATAAAAAGATAAGATACATTCGTTAAGAATCATAAGGTACAACACTTAATGATAAATAGATAGACAAACAGGCAGGCAGGCAGGCAGACATAGATAGATAGACAGACATACAGACAGATATACAAGAAAGAAAGAAAGAAAGAAAGAAAGAAAGAAAGAAAGAAAGAAAGAAAGAAAGAAAGGAAGGAAGGAAGGAAGGAAGGAAGGAAGGAAGGAAGGAAGGAAGGAAGGAAGGAAGGAAGAATTCTTTCTTGGCCAAGTGTGATTGGACACACAAGGAATTTGTCTTTGGTGCATATGCTCCCAGTGTACATAAAAGAAAAGATACGTTCATCGAGAATCATAAGGTACAACACTTAATAATAAATAGACAGACAGACAGACAGACAGATATACAAGAAAGAAAGAAAGGAAGGAAGGAAGGAAGGAAGGAAGGAAGGAAGGAAGGAAGGAAGGAAGGAAGGAAGGAAGGAAGAATTCTTTCTTGGCCAAGTGTGACTGGACACACAAGGAATTTGTCTTTGGTGCATATGCTCTCAGTGTACATAAAAGAAAAGATACGTTCATCAAGAATCATAAGGTACAACACTTAATAATAAATAGACAGACAGACAGATAGATAGATAGATACTGGAACACTGTTATCCTGTCACCCCATGTCTTTCTTTCCATCTTAGGATCCTCTGGTTCCACTTTATATTGTTACAGGACCGGCCCCCTTATTTTTTTCCCCCTAAGCTCAGCAATATCTTTTGTAGGCCAACAGGGTGCAGGCAAACACCTTCAGTCCCATGTACAACGAACCCTGCTCGTTCTTAAAATAAAAAGCCCATTTGCATATAGAGATGCCTTCTTCACCCCCTGGGGATTTAAGAGAGACCTGACGGATGCCAGTTCAAGAGTCTTCCCTTCAGGAAGTTCGTCCAAGTTCTCCATCATGGCTTGGATACTTTTTCTCTTCCTAGTCCTATCTTTTTTCGGTAAGAGAAATAGAATCGAGGGAATAGCCCTTCTGAGAATCTCCCAGGCGCAGACAAATGGCGGATCTCATCCTGCGGCGTAGCATCGTTTCGTTTATTTCCATTTTCCCAATTCTCTGTTCTCTTTCAGAGGCCAGTATCCAGCAACTTCAGAGCCTGAAGAATCCAGAACTTGTAGCTCCAGGAGGGACAGTCACCGCGTCTTGTAGATACGATGGCGGTGTCATCGGCGACAACAATTACCCTGTATGGGTCCAACAGAAATCAGAGCAGATCCCCAGGCTCTTAATACACAGCACCAGTACCAGACAACCGGGCATTCCTGCCCGTTTCTCTGGCTCCAGGTCAGGGAACACCATGTCCCTGACCATCACAGAAGCCTTGGTGGAAGACGAGGCTACATATTACTGTGCTGTCTGGACTGGAAGCGGGTGCACAGTGCTTGGTTCAGATAGAGAAGTGAGACAAAAACCTTACAGGAAATGAGCTCCTTTGATTAGCCTCGGTACGCTTACACGAAGGAAGCTTTTAACAACTGGGCTACTAGCTTAATGATTGCAGTGGTTTGCTTAGCAAGTGTGGCAAGAAATGGGGCAAAACTCACTTAACAAACGTCTCACTTAGCAACATAAATTTTGGGCTCAGTTGTGGTCGTAAGTCAAAGACTACCCGTATGGTATTAATCATCGAATGATCACCATGGGGAAGCCTCATCCTCCATCACATCCTTATTTGAGCATTATCCCAATTGTATCACATTCTTCTCGGACGAGAAGGAGAAGGAGAAGGAGAAGGAGAAGGAGAAGGAGAAGAAGAAGAAGAAGAAGAAGAAGAAGAAGAAGAAGAAGAAGAAGAAGAAGAAGAAGAAGAAGAAGAAGAAGAAGAAGAAGAAGAAGAAGAAGAGGAGGAGGTTTTATAATAGAGAACAGAAAGGGGAAAGGAGAATTCTTCTCATATTGGAGAAGGAGGAGGAAGAGGAGGAGGAGGAGGAGGAGAAGAAGAAGAAGAAGAAGAGAAGAAGAAGAAGAAGAAGAAGAAGAAGAAGAAGAAGAAGAAGAAGAAGAAGAAGAAGAAGAAGAAGAAGGTTTTATAATAGAGAACAGAAAGGGGAAAGGAGAATTCTTCTCATATTGGAGAAGGAGGAGGAAGAGAGGAGGAGAAGAAGAAGGAGGAGGAGGAGGAGAAGAAGGAGAAGAAGAAGAAGGAGGAGGAGGAGGAGGTTTTATAATAGAGAACAGAAAGGAGAAAGGAGAATTCTTCTCATATTGGAGAAGGAGGAGGAGGAGGAGGAGGAGGAGGAGGAGGAGGAGGAGGAGGAGGAGGAGGAGGAGGAGAAGAAGAAGAAGAAGAAGAGAAGAAGAAGAAGAAGAAGAAGAAGAAGAAGAAGAAGAAGAAGAAGAAGAAGAAGAAGAAGGTTTTATAATAGAGAACAGAAAGGAGAAAGGAGAATTCTTCTCATATTGGAGAAGGAGGATGAAGAGGAGGAGGAGGAGGATATGTTGGTATGTTAATGGCCCGTAGGAGCTGCTGTTGTTCTTCCTATTAAAATAATCATCACAACCATCCCTGGATTCCATTCACTTAATTCTCAAAGCATACTGAACATTTCTGACATATGAGAAAACAAATAATTATCCTGAGAGGACCTAAAATAAGACAGCTATACAAAGAAAGAGACAGTGTAACTATTGGGGGCCGGGGGGCATTTTTATTTTATTTTTATTTGACAAGAAGATTTGAAAATTTAAGTTGGACTCTATGGGTTGAAATCTATCGAGAGTAATCCTTAAGTAGGAGGAAATAGATTATATATGAAAATTGAGAAGAGGCTGGTCCCTGGTATGGATGTTCATCATCCTGATCAGTGGTGGGATTGAATTTTTTTTACTACCAGTTCTGTGGGCATGACTTGGTGGACATGGCATGGCTTGGTGGACGTAGGTTGGTGGGCATGGCAGAGGAAGGATACTGTAAAATCCCCATTTCCTCCCGATCAGCTGGGACTCGGGAGGCAGAGGATAGATGGGGGCAGGGCCAGTCAGAGGTGGTATTTACCAGCTCTCCGAACTACCTAAAATTTCTGCTACCGGTTCTCCAGAACTGGTCAGAACCTGCTGAAACCCACCTCTGATCCTGATAGACTTTATTCCATGTACTGCCATTCTGTGGAATATTTGCCATTCCTTGCCTTTGGTCATCCAAATCAGAAGTACCAGTTCTCCAAAATATATGGAGGAATCCAAGGATTCGTTCCAAGCTTCTCCTTGAAGACTTGACCTAGAACAACTTGACTGGAGACTAAGGAAAGACATTGTTGGAAGAAACCTCCTTCTAGGTTCTGCTCCAAGTGGGGAAACAGACATGGAAACATGGAGACTGCTTGGAAAGATGGTTTAATGGTGGACAGGATCACATGGCTTGAGTTCCTGAACAGAAAAGGGGCAGATACAGTAAATCCTTGGGTTTTTATGCTCTCTCTGGCCCTGCATTTCTTGGGGCCCGAAAGAGTATCCTGATTGGTTGTCAGACTTCCAGGGGGTGGGGGCCTTGCTGGCTGATGGCCACATGTGCTTCCCAGGTCACATGTGGTGAGTTTCTGCTGCTATTGTGTAGAGCAGCATTTCTCAACCTTGGTAGCTTGAAGATGGATGGACTTCAACTCCCAGAATCCCCAGCCAGCGCTGCTGGCTGGGGATTCTGGGAGTTGAAGTCCACCCATCTTCAAGCTACCAAGGTTGAGAAATGCTGGTGTAGAGGGCTATCTTTGTTGGATCTTTGGCATTCCTACTATGGCTCTGCCTGAAGGAGGTAGATCTTTGTTATGTAGAATAGACTGTCCCAGGCCTTAATGGCCCATTGACAAAGGGTGGGGGGCAGGAAGATGGGAGCTGCTTCAAAACATGCTTATCCCAGGGAAATATAATATTCTGCCTTTTTCATATTTCCTAAAATATTTCACTCTTCCAGGAGAGGGGTGGGTGCTAACTTCCTACAACATTCTGCCCTTTATCAGAAGATCTACATTCCAAAAAAAAAAAAAAATTCGTTTGCTTTGGAGTTAGTTTCTGGGTCTCAACTGTGTTCATTCTTATTTATAACAAACATTTCTCCCACCATCTCTTTGAACCCAGAGATGTGTGTAGCAGATACAATCTAGAAGGCCCTTCAGAGACACAATCTGTCTAGCAGGTGCAAGTGCCTCTCTCTTGTGGTTGTTCCACCACTCAGAGACAGAAAATAAAGGGGCAAGAGATTTGCATGAGGGAACTGATTTTTTTTAACCTCTGGGGATTTAAGAACAACTGAGTTGACCCAAGAGGCAATTATTTTGCAACAAGAAGATGAACATATTGTATCTCTCCAGAATAAGCAGCATGTTCTTTCTGGCCATATTCCTTGCCACCCTTGGTGAGCTACATGGAGTTGGTGGATGCGAGAAGCTGTGTCTTCTCCAAAATGGTGGCCATGGCTTCTCCGTAGTCCCTTAAATAAGCAGTTCTTTGCTCTGTTCCCTTGCAGATCTCAGCCTTCAGCAGCTGCAAAGCCTGAAGGACCCAGAATCGGTGCCTCTTGGTGGGACGGTCACCATATCTTGCAGATACTCTACTGGAATTATCACTGACAACAATTACCCATGGTGGATCCAGCAACCACCAGGCAAATCACCCCGGCTCTTGGTTCACGATACCAGTGTCAAACCTTCTGATGTTCCAGCCAGGTTCTCTGGGTCCAAGGCAGGGAATGTCATGTCCCTAACCATAACAGGGGTCATGGCTGAAGATGAAGCCATCTATTACTGTTGCGTACACACAGGGAGTGGGTGGTACAGTCGTTCCATACAATGGGGAAGGAAGACAAAAACTCTGTCCTTCTTGACTCTCTTCAAGCATCATTAGCGGTTGCATGGACTCTTGAGCTTCCTGTTCATGTTGCAGTCAGTCTGCAGATGAAAGGAGCAGAGAAGCAGAAATGAAGGTACCAGTTTGGAAGAGGCATAGGCATTCAAATGCAGGGAGAAATGACTAATTTGGATTCAATTCAAATTCGAACACAATTTTTCTCCATCTCTTTCTCGTTTTTACCTCTTTCTCTTTTTCCCTCCTTCCCTCTCTCCCTTCCTTCCTTCCTCTTTTCTCTCCTCCTCCATCTCCCTCCCTCCCCCATTCCATCCCCACTCTCTCTTTCTCCCTCTTTCCTTCTCTCCCTCCCTCCCTCTCCCCCTTTCCATCTCCCTCTCTTTCTCCCTCCTTCTCTCCCTCTTCTTCCTTCCCTCTCTCCCTCCCCATTCTATCTCCCTCTGCTTCTCACTCCTTCTCTTCCTCCCTACTACTCTCTCTCCCTTCCTCCCTCCCTCCCCTGCTTTCCATCTCCCTCCTTCTCTCCCTCTTCCTCCCTCCCTCCTTATATGCCCCCATCCATATTTTGGGGATTATTTGCCTTCTCTAGCTTCCATCCATCCTCAATGGTTCTATCAAAGTTGATTCAGCCTTCCATCCTTCTGAGGTGGGTAAAACGAGGACCTAAATTGTTGGGGGCTGACTCTGTAAACCATTTAGAGAGGCCTGTAAAGCACTGCGAATCTTCTCTTTTATGGGCGCTAAAAATTATTTTGAGGCGATAATTTTTTATTTATTTTTTTTTGCTTTAATTTATATGCCGCCCTTCTCCGGAGACTCAGGGCGGCTTACAATGCGCTAAGCAATAGCCTTCATACTTTTGTATATTTATACTAAGTCAGCTTATTGTCCCCACAATCTGGGTCCTCATTTCACCTACCTTAGAAAGGATGGAAGGCTGAGTCAACCTTGAGCCTGGTGAGATTTGAACCTGCAGTAATTGCAAGCAGCAGATGTTAATAAGATGTTAATAACAGTGCTTTAGTCCACTGTACTACAGACTCTTATCATGATATAACCAATAGAGGTCAGGATTGCCATATTTTCTAAACATTGTCACTTTCATTCTATGGAAGAGTTTTGTGTTGAGTACGGTGGTTATTCGAGCTGACAGTTGCAACGGGACAGTAACACATTATCCTTGCTCAATAAGACTAACCTCCCTTTGAAATCTAATAGCAAGTCTGTTTTACATCATAAAACGCAGCCCAGAAGGAAAAAGCACGGGAAAAAATCAGCTAGACTTGAGTTATATTCCAACACTTTGTGGTGTAGAGGAAAGCATGGTATTTATTCATAGACTTTTACAAGATATTCCCTTTCCTAAGGAACAAGAAGTTCCAGAAACTGAGTAAAATGCAAACAAAACACAATAGAACGTCATGGGAAAGAATTGCAACCCTCCAATTTAGGAATTGTCCTCAACTGACCAACAAGGCTCAAAGGATGCTTCTAATGGTTGATTTATTTTACACTCTGCAAAGCCATGCCGGCCTAGCCTAAATGGTTTTTAATTGGGATTTTAAATTTTATGGATTTGGGGTTTTAAATTGGGTAGCCAGTGATTTAATTCTTTTTAATTATCTTAAC